TAGATTGCATCTTTTTATTGAAAGCAGGACATGTTTAATCAAGTAATAATAATTTAGGAAATAGACCTTTATTATGAAGATTTATCTTAATCTAGGTAGAAATCAGTCCTTTTTTAATGTGTATTGTTACACTCACCAGATTTTTACATTTTTCCTAGTGTGCTTGCTCTTCTCATTCCTCTTAACTTTGGGGTTTCTTATGTCCTCACTTCAGAGAGAATCTATGTCTTGGAACTCTGCCAGTCACATTGCATTATCATTGTATTGGAGCCTGACTGATATGGTGGTTGGAGCTGGAAGTAGGTGGTCTAGATTTTTCTAATGATAGTGTTTCTCAGTCTCTACTTTCAGAAGGTGAAAAATCACACATTAAAATAACAGTACAGAAAACATCAGGTTCGATGAGGACTTGCAGAAGTCAAAAGTTTAATATATCGCTGATGGAACATGAGAACTGCCAAGTAACTGTTCAGAGCACATTCTTATGTGACACAGTGATTTTATTCCTAGGTTTATACTTAGCCAAGAAAAAAATTTTTTAGATGTTTCAAATCATATCATTTATAAGAACCACAGATTAGAAACAACCCAAATGTCACTAGAGTTGATAAATAAGTTGTAGTATATTCAAACAATGAAAGATAGCAATTAGGATTAAGGGTAAATCTTATGAATAAATATTTAGTAAGAGAAGTCAAACAAAAAATGTTCACTGTGTGATTCATTTATTTGTAATTTAAGAATGGGCAAAACTAAGGTATGGCATTAGAAATCAGAGATGTATAGAACCTTCTCTAAAGAAGACAGATGAATGGCTAACAAACATGAAAAAAACACTCATCATCACTAATTATCAAAGAAATATAAATCAAAACCACCCTAAGATATTACCCAACCCCAGTGAGAATGGCCCACATCACAAAATCTCAAAACTGTAGATGCTAGCATGAATGTGGAGAGAGGGGAATACTTTTACACTGTTGGTGGGACTGAAAACTAATACAGCTTTTTTGGAAGGAAATATAGAGAATCCTCAAAGAACTCAAATTAGACCTCCCATTTGATCCTGAAATCCCATTACTGGGCATCTACCCAGAAGGAAAAAAAAAATCATTGTATCATAAGTACATTTGCACTAGACTGTTTATTGTAGCTCAATTTACAATTGCCAAACTGTGGAAACAACCTAAATGCCCACCAATCCAAGAATGTATTAACAACCTATGGTATATGTATACCATGGAGTACTATTCAGCCACTAAAAAAGATGGAGACTTTACATGTTTTGTATTAACCTGGTGGAGATGAAACACATTCTTCTTACTAAAGCATCACAAGAATGGATAAGCAAGAATCCAATGTGATTAATTCTGTTATGAGGACAATTGATGACCTAGTACATGGTGGGGGGTGGGGGAATGGGAGAGCAGAGAGAGGGAAGGAGGGAGGGGGGTGAGGGGTCACAGTGTGTGATATTCCTCTTGGGAGTGGGACACAATTATAGGAGGGACTTTACCTAACAAATGTAATCAGTGTAACCTGATGCACCCTCAATGAATCCCCAACAATAAAAAAAAATGCAAAAAAAAAAAAGAATATACTTACCTGTTGAGAATTGTGGTGATTCAATGGGCAAGATGCACAGATGCTAATGATCTGTTCTTTGAGCTATTTACATAGAATGTTCAATATATGAAAATTGATCCAACTATATACACTTATACTGTGAACCGCCTCTATGCATGTTACACCTCACTTAGCAATCTTGCTTAACTCCTATTAGATTCAGATGGTTTTGTATGTGAAAGTGCTTTGAAAAACTCCAAACACTACAGTGATGCAATGAGTTATCACCACCATCATCACTGTTACTATCACTGTTGTCATTATTGCCTTCCACTTTACATGCTGTCATTTATATGTAGTATTACCCTAGATAGTTGCTATTTTTCCAAATCTAGCCTCTCTAAATTTGTCTTACAAGAAATGAGAAATGTGACGTGAACTTTCTCAGGACTTGGACTCCTAGATTTTTTTCTTTTTACTGTGACATTTTGTGCAGCCACGAGGTAACCAAAGCCCAATGTAAAGCCTGACTATCAGAATTGCCAAGCACAAGTTTCCTCATTAGATAATACCTCACTGAATAGGAAATATTATCCATCCATACTCTGCTGGTAAAGGGCTACACATGTGGCCCATTATCATTGCTACTTAAGTTGCAGAGTACTTTTCTTTTCATGTTTTCTATAGTCTTTCCCTTCGGCTTACCACACAGAAGTTTTTTGGGTAGCTTCTGGCTTTCATAAAAATCTTGACAAGATTTCTTATTCTTTGTGGAAAGTTTACTTACCCTCACTTTCAAATGTTTTCTAATCCATGTAAATGTTCTTAAAAAGGTCTATTCTGCAGACTAAAACTCAAGCCCTTTAAAAGAATATCAACTACATTAAATCAAAGCCATGAACAGTAAAAGGCACTTTTTTTCCTACTCTGCACTAGGAAACAACTTAATTGAATGCAAATGTAAATGATTAGGTTTGTAATTTTATATGGTTAAAGCCACCATGACAAAACATTACTAGGCCATTCCTGTGGGCAAACATCAGTGAGTAGAGAGAAAAATAGCCTGGTACAATATTATGATTTAAGCAATCCAAAGAATAGAAGAAATTTTGAAAATTATATATCTGACAATATAGATATTAGATATATCTTATATTTTATCTTATATTTATATTATATCTTATATTTTAGAGATATTTTATATCTCTAAAATATAAAGAATAATTATACTCAATAATAGAAAGACAATCCAAATTTTAAATAGTAAACACATTTTAATAGACATTTCATCAGAGAAGATATGTAAATGGCTAAAAAACATATGAAAAGATGCTCAACATCATTAACCATCAGAGAACTGTAAATCAAAACCATAATGAGATAGTACTTCATACCCATTAGGAAGTCTATAGCCTCACTAAGACTTTCAGGAGACAGATGATAACAAGCATTAGTGAGTATTCAGCCATTTAAAAATATGCAGATTTTACACTGTTTTTATTAACCTGGATGGAGTTGAAACACATTCTTCTTAGTAAAGTATCACGAGAATGGAGAAACAAGGATCCAGTGTATTCAATTCTAATATAAAGCCAATAGATGATCTAATACATGCCCACATAAAAGAAAAATTCAAATAAATTCAAGTTGGGGGGCCAGAGAATGAAGGAGCATGGAGGGAGAGGTGGGAGGGGGATGGGTGTGCTCCCACTTTATGGGCACCATGTGAGGGTGTATAGGACACCTCTTAGGGGTGGGACATATTATAAGAGGGATTTTACCTAACAACTGCAAACACTGTGATCTAATTTTTTGTACCCTCAATTAACCAGAAACAATTTTAAAAATTATGAAAAACAAGTATTAGCAAGAATGAAGAAAAATTGAAACCCCCATACATTTCTGGAGTGATATAAAATGGTATAGCCAGTTTGGAAAATAATCTGGCACGTCCTCAAAAAGTTAAAGAGTCTTATTGTATGGCTCAGTAATTCCATCACTAGATTTATACCCAGGAGAAATAAAAACATCATTCCTTATAATAACTTATATACAAATGTTCATAGCAGCATATTGATGATAGCCAAGTGGAAACTTTCCAAATCTCTAACAACTGGTGGTACATCCATGTAATGGAATAATTTTGGTAACTTACATAATTAAGTACTTATACATGCTACAACATAGATGAGCCTCAAAAACATTATCTAAGTGAAAAGAACCAGTCACAAAAGACCATCTACTGTATACTTCCATTTATATGAAGTGTTCAGAATAGGAATAAGAATAGAGACAGAAAATAGATTAGTGGCTTTCTACAGCTGAAATCCTGGAAATATGGGAGATAATATCTAAAAGGTATGGGTTTCTTTTTGGAGCACTGAAAATATTCTACGATGTATTATGGTGATGAATGCACAACTCTATGAATATACCAAAAGCTACTTTAAATGGGTGAATTGCACAGTTTGTCAATTAAAGTGTGTGATGCTTGAAAAGAAGGTGGGAACAATAGAGAAAGTAGTAAAATCAGTGAAAAAACGTGATTGTTCTAATTTAGCTGTTTTGACTACAGAGGACCCTAAATGAATCTTTGACTTAAGGGGTGAGACTCCGATTACTTCCAAAGTTTTAGGGCTCATTTTCCCTACATGTATTCAAGTATAAATGCAAAAAGAAAATATAAATAAACCAGAACAGGTAAAAATAAATCATGACAACAATTTCTTTTTGTGTAGATTCTAATTTAATCAACATGCAAAATTAGGATTTCTCATTCAAAGAAAAACATTAACTTTTCAGGGGAAAAAAAACCTGGCAGGTCCATGTCAATCATATCTCTTTTGCCAGAATGCATTTTCCTTCTCTGGGTAGGTCTATCAAATAGCCCTCAAGTGTTTCAATAAGAGCATTTATCTTTATCTATTCCTTTGTAATTCAGTCATTGTTGCTGATAAAATTATCTTAAAGAGGGAATCTTTAAGCTATACTTCTGTATATTATTAGAAACAAAAACATGTCCATAGTCTGACAATTTCTAGGAATTTTTGCAGACATTCTTTCATTGTTAGTTTTCTTTTATAAATAAAATGCCTACAGAATTGCCACAAAACATAATGTTTCCTATCTCTTAGCTTGAAGAATAGAAAACTCTTAAAGTTTATTAGACAAGTCCAGAAACTCATTTGATATTTAGTAAAATCTTAATAGCTTTCCACAAGGATCTATGGAATTGTCCCACTCTTATAATAAAAACTTCAAGTCATCGTGAAAACCTATGAAAATTAGAGCCTAAGGATAATAATTTTGATTGACACCCAGTAAAAGAACCTGTTTGAATTTCTTATCTTCTCAGTCTGCTCTGCTCTTCGGACCAGCCTTGTACATAAATCTGTCCTGATCCCTTCTGTTCCTTTAAAAAAAAAAAAAAAAACCAGGGGAAACAGTAAACACAGTCCCCTACTACCACAAATTATGCAGTCAAGTTTCCCACATCTGGGGATATTGCAGGGGTCAGCACATCAAGAGTGCAATAGATAAGCCTTGCCCTGGGAAAACCACCTTCGTGATCATGGTATGTCACCTGCCAGGTGTTACTCTTGACTCCTACTTCATCTTATGTAGAGAGGCACAAGACTCTTCACAATAATGAGAATAAAGTCACCAAACTGATACACAGTGCTATTTATTGATACTGTTCAACTATGACCTGAAGGTTGGAAAGGCCCTTAAATATCATATACTACAACTACACCCAATGGCATTTGAACACCTTCCACCAAGCAAGTAGAAGTTCTGTGTGTGTCACTGTTTAATTTCATCTTCCTAGCAGTAATTACCAAGGTCTATGGGGTTGGCATCTATGCACTCCACTACGTCAGATCTGATAAGTGGCAATGGATTAAAATCTCAGAGCTAGTTTGACCTTTTTTTTTCCTCTTTAGCACCTTGAAGAATTTGTTCTTTTGACTTCTTATCAGCATTATTTTTTTGAGAGCTCTGTCTTAATATTGCTCCCCTCAATATAATGTTTCTTCTTTTCCTAGATCAGGAGTTTCCAGACTTTTACTGTACATGGGAAGATGGTAAATATTTTATTTAGGCTTTTTTGGCCAATGGGGAAAATTGAGGATGTTATGTAGAAACTTATAATAATCACTTTAAAATGTAAAAAAATACCTTGAAACCATAGGCAACACAAAATCAGTTTGTGAAACACATCTAGACTACAAGCGATAGTGTTCTGACCCCTTGCTCTCAATGCTTTTCAAATTTCCCCTTAGTATTTGGTTTTCAGCAATGGAACTATGTGATATACAGGTACTTTTTTTTTTTTTTTTACTTACATTTATTTTACTTAAGGTTCAGTGAACTTCTAGGATCTGAGGTTGATATCTGTGGTCAATGTTAGAAAATTCTTGGCTATTATGACTTTAATATTTTCCCTGCTCCATTATCTCTCCTCTCTTGTGTGGACTCTGATTTCTTATACATTAAATCAGTCAAAATCGCCAGGCTGGTGTTGAGTGCTCTGTTCAGTAATTGGATTCATTTTTTCTCTCTTTATATTTCAGTGTGGTTACTTTCTAATGGACTATATTTACATTCACTGATCTTGTCTTCTGCTATGTCCAGTCTGCTGTTAAGTCAATCAAATAAATTCACTTCATATTGCATTTTTTTTAGCTTCTATAATTCCATTTTGGTTCTTTTATCTAGTTTCTACAATCCACTAAAATTTTCCATTTGTTTATGCAAATTACTTCTAATAGATATTTATAAACATATTTCTTATAGATATTTTAATGTTACTAATCGCTAATTCAAACACCAGGGTTTTTGTAGTTCTGCTTTTACTGATATTTTTATACTATCAGCTACAGGTCATATTTTTCTTGTTTTCCGGTTACTTTCTGTAAGCCAGGTATTATGTACAAAAATAAAAGTAGAGATTAAAATGAATAATGTTTACCCCAAGATTAGATCACACAGCTTCTACTCTGAGACCATCAGTATAAGAAACAGTCAATCTAATCTGTAATTGAGCTGGATTTGGTCTTGGTCACAGCTTTAGAAAACTTCAATCTACTACTGTCTTCAAAAGTTTTATGGTGAGAGCATGATTTTCCCTAGTAGAGCTGAAGATCTGCACACCACCAAGGCTATAATATTTTTAAACTTTACTGTCAGCCACCAACCTTCTGAACTTTACAGCTCAGTCATCACCTTTTGAAAGTCCCTGAAGAATTCTCACTCTGTAGCCCCTACATCTGGCTTTCAATGCTTTGGGAAATCTCTTCTGCTGCCTTGCCCCTATCTTTTAGTAAAGTCTCAGTGCATCTCAGGGATCTCTGTCTCAACTCTTATATCTTATCTCAATCTTCATCTGCCTAATTTTGTTCTTTTGATAAGGACTATGCACCTTGGGTGGGATGTGAAAATCTCTCTTGGATCTTCTGCTGTGTTTCCAACCTTTGAGTGTGTCTTACAAACATAAATGCCTCATACACTTTGGAGTTGAGGGTGGGGATCTTGATGAGGTCTTCCCTGCTGTTTTGGCTACCTGCTGACTTGCATTTAGGAAAAACCCACTTTGTTCCAGGGAAGTTCTTTCTCAGTTATCCTCCTCTGCTCCTAGCCCTTGGTAAGCTATTCCCATGTGTTCAACTAAGACATTATGAGAAATATTTGAAAATTGAAGGCAGATTTGCTTTATGATTGTGGATCTTTGGCATTTCTACTAATCATTCAAAGTTTGTCAAAAGTCAGACTGCTTCTTTTTAGCTGTATCAGTGGCTAATTCCCTTTATGCCATGACACTATGGGTGAAAATGGCCTTGAGACACTTCTTTCCCAGGAAGGGCTTATTCCTCTCTGCAGTGAAATCTGATTTGTACCCTCAGGTATTGTCTGAGTTTTAAAAAGCATTATCAGTGATGGTCTTTCTCTTATGTAAACTTTCTGCATTCTAACCTGGATTAAAATTCTGCTCAACCAATCTTTAACTGTATAATTTTGAGAAAGTTGTTTAAACTCTATTACTTCAGTTTCCTCATCCATAGAATGGGGTTGACAAGAACAAATGCATGTAAAAGCATTAGTAAGTGACAAGTACTCAGGAAAGTTGGGTGGTCTAGAAAAAAGCCCTCACATGCTGCTCTCATGGAGAGGACCAAAAGTTGCCAGCAGATGCCCACCTACAGATGGACCCTCTTGAATACAACATTGTAGATCACCAGAGATCTATAGGGTGACACTCAGAATGAAGTATCAATGGGGAATTCCACTTGCCAAAATTGGGGAATTTCCACCAGAATTGAGGAATTCCACTCTCCAAAATTGCAAGGCACCTGAGGAAATTCCTACACGTAGAAAAAGGACATAGAAGGATCAGAAGGCTTGAAGGCTCCACATCTCTGCACAAACACTCAAACTTTAGCTATGAGGGCCCCCCCACCACCACAGGCCTTTATACTGATCAGGGTACTGATCATGGAGAGTATGTAGTAACATTGCATCCATTAATATACACAGCTATGATTTAATTTAAAAAGAAAAAAAGCATACTCAGTAGGGACCTGGTGGCCTTTATTTTGGGTTGAGTGGCTGTCTCCAATCTGAGGTCTCAGATCCAGAGCACTAGGTCTACACAGGGATTGGATTCTCTGCAACTGCTCCCACATCATCCCCACCCAGCCAAGGAGCAAATAGGGAGAATAGATACTCTCTTACACTTGAGTGGGTAATTATACCCCCCACTGGGTAATTTGAATGGAGTAGATGCTGATGCCACTACAGAGGTCCTATGGTAGCAGCCTCAGGGGGAATTGCATGAGGTGTGAGCCCCAGCCATCAGATAGTCCAGCCCAGCACCTGTGACCCTACACCCTGAAGTGCAGAATAAACTTTCCAGCCCTGAGTCAACTGACAGGGCACACCCTGTGGAGTCACATGCCTGACTCTAGACCAGCATGCCAAGTAGTGGACCACTCCCCCATGCATCTGCATTGCACATGGAGGTCTACACCCCCATGGCTCGAGTCATGTACTATGCAGGCCAACAGGCCAGCACTCCACCATGGATCCACGAGCCCCAAGCCACCTCCCACCATATACCATTATTACATGTAGAACTGTGTGGAATAAATGCCTACAGTTCTGAACCCATGGCCACCACCTAGAGGCCTCTCCCAGAAGCTACTGCCACCATTGTGGGGAAACCTGGACAGAGTAATCTTCTGCAATGCTTGCCTCCATGAAGAGGGACCCACCCAATTTCCCACCTGAGCTTCCAACAGCAGCCTGGGGTGGTCTAACTCACCACTCCACAGGAAGATCCCCTAGCACTTAGACCAGTGGTTCTCAACCTTCCTAGTGACACGATGTATTTTCATTGTTACAAAGGGATCGCGACCCACAGGTTGAGAACTGCTGCCTTAAACCATGACAAACACAGAATAGCTACATTATAAGAATTAAGTTAATCTGCCCCTCTCCTGCCAAATCAATGTTATGGAATAGAATATAAAAGCACTATTTAGGGACCTCTCTTTGTTCTCACTAAAGAAGAGTGTCCCCCGAAAAGGAAAATAGGTGTCCTACTTACCTATCTGTCCTGAACTGAGAGATTTCATATGAAACACCACCACCAAAAGAACTCTGACAACATTAGAACAACACCAAAAAAACTAGTTTGACACCCCCAAAGAATTACAAAAGACCTACAGCAATAGACTCCAGCCAAAAGGAAAAGGCCAAAACATAAGTAATGGAATTCATAATATGGATGGCAAATGAGATGAACAGGATTGAAGTGAAAGTTTAAAGCCAATATGAAGAAACTGAGAAAGGACTTTGGGACATGAGTGAAAAAAAAGAAAAAGTCACCACAGAGATTGACAACCTAAGCAAATATAACAGTATTTAATGAAATGAAAAAGTCACTTAGAGAACTTTAAAATACAGTAGAAAGTTTCAATAGGCTAGATAATGCAGAAGAAAGAATCAGAGCTCGAAGATAAGGCTTTTGAACTACTTTAGTCAGAAATGCAGAGGAAAGAATAAAGAAGAAAACAGACTTGGAGAAATGTTTACTGTGTAAGGCAAGACAACATATGATTTATTATCTTCCTGAAGGAGAAGAAGAAATAGCAAAAAACATAGAAAGCCTATTCAAAGGGATTATTGAAGAAAATTTCCCTGGTTGATACTGCCAGAGATTCAGATACCCAAATACAAGGTGGTCACCAAACACCAGGAATATTCATAGCAAACAGGACAAATCCAAGACATTTAGTCATCAACCTAGCTAAAGTCAAAATAAAGGTGTATATTTTACAAGCTGGAAAACCAAAGCAACAACTATCCTTCAAAAGAAAACCCATCAAGCTAACAACAGACTTCTCAGTGGAAACTTTACAAGCCAGATGTTAATGGGAGCTCATCTTTAGTCTTGTAAAACAGAACAACTGCCAGCCAAGAATTTTATATATGGCAAAACTAAAATTTCATAAATGATGAAGAAATAAAGACTTTTTCAAACAAACACACACTGAGGAAATTTGTCACTACTAGACCTGCTCTATAGGTAATGCTC